CAAGTCCTCCTCCGGCTCCCCCACCTCCTCCTAGACCACCACCCGCACCACCTCCAAGACCGCCACCTGCACCACCTCCTAGGCCACCACCTGCACCGCCTCCTAAACCACCACCACCACCTGCACCGCCTCCTAATCCTCCACCTCCCAAGCCACCACCAGCACCTCCGCCTAGACCTCCACCAGCTCCTCCTCCAAGGCCACCTCCACCTCCCAAGCCACCACCAGCACCTCCACCTAGACCTCCACCAGCTCCTCCGCCAAGACCACCACCACCACCAAGACCTCCACCTCCACCAAGGCCAAGACCTCCACCATGTCTAAACCCTTTACTATAAATCCCATGCCCTAAACCCCCACCAATACGATCCCCAAAACGACGATGCTTAAACAAGAACTTCTCATCTTCATCTCCCTTATTAACATCAGCAAACACAACAGACTCAACAACAAACAAAAGCAAAAGAATAAACACCCCAACACTACGTGCAGATAAACCCATTATGACTCCAACTTAAACCCTCAATAAAAAGAATAATAAAACAATGGACATGCAAGAATGTTTAGTATATGATCCTATTATATAGTACAAGAAAATCACATGGTAGGTCCACTTAGAACTCAACTGTCACCTTCTATTGAGTAAATGCTTGTTGTTCTGCAATTGGGCAAAGGATTAAATTTTGGCAACCGCCCCTCGATCTCCCGCACACACTTACAAAGTCACAAAGACAGCATTATTTTCATTACTGCTTTAATTTTAGTTCTGGGAGATTTGACTTTTAGGGTGTCTCTCATTTATTATGAATAGAGGGAGTATGAATTTATCCAAAATATTTTAGTATATACACTAACAGAAAATTTATATACTCTCAGTTAGAGACGGAGCTCGGATTTAAACTTTATGGGTTCGGGATTATATATAGTTCTTTTAAATTATTGGGTTCTAAATTAATAATTTGTACATATTTATTGGACCTCTTAATACAAATACAAGGTTTGAAAAAAACTTACTGGTTCGGCTGAACCCGCAACCATCATTGTAGCTTCGCCCCTGCTCTCGGTATAATTTAACCTATTATAACAGTTTTAGCGGTAAAGTTATTGTTATGTAACCAGGAGGTCAAGGGGTTCAAGCTGTGAAAATAGTCTCTTGCATAAATGCAGGGTAAGGCTGTATACTGTAGACCTTTGTGGTTTGGCCCTTCCCCGGACCTGTGCATAGCGGGAGCTTAGTGCACCGGACTATTTTTTTTTAATTACAGTTTTAGGAGTTCGTATTATCTACTTTATTTTCCGAGTTATAAGGTTATATTTGATTGGAGGTAACTATAGCATAAAAAGAATTATACATTGCCTATGCAAAGAAGTTAGATACTTAGTATAAAATGTTATAAAGCTGACTGTTTCCTTAGGTCATTTTAAATTGTTTTGACTTCTGAACTATTTCTGAATCAGAGAGTAATATGATATATCCGTAAAGTTGAAGCTATCTTATGCGTTGGGCGTTGCATGCTTTTGTATTTAATGGGCTCTTATTTACTTGGTCTTCTGCATGCTATTAATGGAGAAATTAAATTATTTCCAGCAAACAGTTTGTACTTTATCTTTCCCTTTCGACAGAGTAGATAGCTACTTGTTTGAAAAATCCATGGTCCAAAGTATGCATGGCAATTATGAAGCATGACTTTTGTTCCTGTCACTTTCTTTTTTTTTTCTCCTTTTTTTTATGACTTCATTTTAAAACAATGGCAATTAGGTCACAAGGCATTTTTGTGTTCATTCAGGCTCGGCCGAAGGCCGCCTTCAAGGGTGTGATGTAGACAGTCTATCCTAATACAAGCATTATTGGTTGTTTTCATGGCTCAAACTCGTGATTTATAGGTTACACGGAGATAACATTATTGTAGCTCTAACTGTATTTTATATAAAAAAAAAGTAACAGTAGTATTCTAGCCAATTTATGCATATTTCGACTAATCTATTGTGATCTCCTATCAGTCAGTGGCGGGTATAGGTAGAACATAAATTTATGCATGAAAATTTATTAAATCGCAAGAAATAGTGTATATGAACCCATAACTTTAAAATTTTGATCAATGCAAAAAAACTTAAATATTGAACCCGTATAATTTAAATTTTGGATCTGCCCCTGCTACCAATATAATTTAAGAATACTACTAATGCACTTATACTTAATGTAATGTCAATTTATAAGCTAATAATAACTAATACACTTACTAATTACAAATAATACACTTTCACTTAGTGTATTATTAATGTATAGGATAATTAATTATTAACATTAGTTAAGCATACCACTACTACACTTCTACTTACTGTTATCAACTTATAAAATAAACAATCACTAATATTTCTTGTCGATACCATGAATACACTTATATTAGCGTGTAATTATTAATGAATAGGCTAATCAATAACCAACATTATTTAAGATTACCACTAATCTACTTCTACTTAGAGTAATTATCAATTTACAAGCTAATCACCAATATTATATTATTATTTAGTATAATTTTTACAAATATAGTTTCACTTAGTGTAATTATCAATAGTTATTATAAGCTGCAAAATAATCTTAAGGTTATTTCTATAAAATAGCATCTACATAGTGTGATTATCAATTTAGAATAGATCATCAGCCAATCCACTTATACTTAGCGTAATTATTAATTTATGAGCTAATTGTCATTAATACACTTCTACTTTATGTAATCACCAATTTATAAGCTAATCAATCGCTAACATTTCTTAATGATATTACCAATACACTTTTACTTAGTGTAATTCTCAATGCATAAGCTAATTAATTAGTAATAGTTCTTAAGACTATACTAATACACTCCTACTTAATTAGTATAATTATCAATGTATAGGCTAATGAATCACTAGCATTACTTCAGGATACCACTAATATTACTTAACGATACTACTAATAAACCTCCACTTACTTTAATTATCAAACTAAAGATAAACAATCACAAATATTTCTCACAAATAGCATTAATACACTTCCATTTAGTGTATAATTATCAATATATAGGCTAATCAATCACTAAAGTTGCTTATATAAGGATGCCACTAGTTCACTAATATTTAGTGCTATTATGTATATGTGAGCACGTGATTTTTGCCCTATATATGAATTACTCCCATAAATTCAAACAAAATAACTTCTTTTCATTATTTGCAATTTTTGAGGATTTTGTGGCATTTTCTGACAATTGTTTGCATTTGTCTGTGCATTTTAATTTTGTTTAATTAATGAAAACACAAAAATATGTTGCATTTGCATTTAGGATTTAATTTTACATCTTTTTAGATTAATTAGCAAATTAGTTGTTCTATAAAAGTGAAAAATCACAAAAAATAACTTATTTTTGCACTTTTTAATTTTAGTTTTGATTTTTGGTAATCTTTCCTTTAATTATGATTTTTATTATTATTTAGAGTTAATTATTTGAATTTGGTAGGATAATTTGATTTGGAGATTAATGTAGGTGTTATTTTTAATTTTTGGGAAAGGAAAAGAATTTTGAAATTAAAAAGAAAAAGAAAAAAGGGGTTTCAAAACAAGACAATTCAAGCTTGGGCCCATTAATTGAATTCTCCCAGGCCCACGCCCATTGACCCAACAAAATTAGACTAGAACCCGTCCTCAACCCTGTCCGGTCACCCCTTCATCCGAAACGATGTCGTTTCGTTATTCGTTGATCTCGACCTTCAAGGTTAGTTGATCTGACGGTTCAGAAGCGGGGAGGTCTTAATATATATATGTCCAAACCCTACCCTACCCCCCTCATCTCGCCTCTTTCAACTCCCACCTCAGAGACCCCTCGGAACCCTACCCGCCGCCCCTATTCTCCACCGTTTGTTGTCGGCGGCCCTGTTCCCAAACCGCCCCAAACTAACACCCTACAACCCCCATGATCCCCTCATACCAAATCCACAACTACTTTCCTTCAAATCTGTCGGGAGCCCCACGAATCTGGAATCCGAGTTCAACCCTCAAGAAGTTCAAAGTCATTTTTCACATGCACGTTCGGGGAGCGCTATTCTTTCAAACTCTGAGGTTTAGACTCGGCGAAACTGATGTCGTTCAGTTGTTCTTGACAAAGAACAAGGGATCGACATAAGTTTGGCTAAGTTCTTTGTCCCCGTCCGGTTTCGAGGTTCGATTTGGTGAGTCCCTTTCCCTCTCCGGTTTCCTTTTTGTCATCCTCATCTTCCGTTCGTTATTTTTCTCTTTTCTCTCTCTTTCTTCGTGAATTCCGTTTTTTGACATTTTTAGTTTGTTAAACAGGTTAAGTTTCTGGTTTGTTAAATCACTTAATAAGGTCTTAATTTAGTCGATTTCATGTTAATTAGCTCATTCATCTTTGTCTTTGCTTGATTGCATTTTAAAGAAGGGGTTCCAGGTTTTCTTGTAGGGAAATTTTGGTCAGTCTTTCGAGTTAGGAATCCCTGATGGATTTTAATTGGACTCCGAAAATCAGAAAGCCCAAGTAGGGATCTAGTTTGGGTTTGTAGACCCCTACCGATTTGAGTCGGGTCAATATGACCTATACTTGGGTTGGAGGGGTAATTTTCAGAGGTTTAAAGGGTAGTTTGGGTAATATAGGTAGGAGAATCTTATATAACTGAACTAGGAAGCTTCCTAGAAGCTGGGGTGGAGGCTAATTTGAAATTATGAGGTTTACACTAGGGATTTCTAAGCTAAAATGAAAATTTTAGAAGGTTTTAAGTGTAATTTTGAACTCTTAAGACTGCCTTTGCCTATAAAGGCAGCTTTTCTTGCCTTTCAAGGCAGAGATTTTGAGAGCTGAAAAATCAGAAATTACACCAGACGACTAAAATTTATAAGAAAACACTATTCCATTGGAATTTTGCCCTAAATCTTAAGTTGTTCTTAGATTACAAAATAATTTCTGAAGCCTTTTAAGTGTAAATGGCTTGATCTTATGCTGGAAAAGCTTTGGGGGTTTAGTCTTGTTTGAAGTTTTCACTGTTCCATTGATCTTTTGTTTGGGTTTCTGAAAGTTTTCAAAGTTTTGAAGAATTTTTGGTTCATCTGAGGTTGAGTGTGAATTGATTTGGGTTTGGAAACTAGTTCAAGGTTGTGTTCCGAGGTTTGTTGTGTCTCAACTTGTGTTGAGTTTGGGTTTTACTGATTGTTACTCCAATCTTTTCTGTGTTGCTTGCTGCTAGCTACTGATTCTTCACTATTTTGGTTTCTATCTTATTTCCAGGTATTTCCTTCAAATCCTGAATGGAAATGAAGCTTCTTATGGCTATTTGTGTTGGAATCATGTAATTTGAGTCGAAGAAACTGATTGTTGCCCTTCTCTGTTACATTACCAGTTTTGAAGTTTATTATATTTTGTCTTCATGTTCCTCCTAGGCTCACATAAATTATCTAGTTTCTTGTCATTATCTTTTTAGATTCTTTTATGGTGTTGTATAAATGTTTCCCTTTCACTT